AACTATGTATTATTTCCCTTAATTATGAATTTTAATGGATGATACCAATGCATATGAAAACATGTATCATGCATGTACTTAATAAATTGATATAAATATCAGATGCGTTTAAGATTCTATCGATATAATACATAATGTTGATATGACTTATGATTAGAGGCGAATGTAGAGTACTAGTATAACGTTCATTTGAATTCAGTACTTTTATTGTGAAGTATAATTTTATGTATAAAATATAATGAATTTAACTATGAACCTTAATAATTGAACTTATAAAACTTGAATTTTGAATCCGTCTCGATCAGATTGAATACCTAAAATGACCAGACCAAGTAGAGGAAAGTTGTATATTTTTTCTATATCAAGAAAGGCCTCCATTATTATAATCCTTAAACTCTAGCCACAAGCCCACAATAGACTAAGTGGAGGTCATTTTTAGAATCTTTTAAGGCACAAGATAAGAAGCAACATGATAAACATAAAATTAAAGAGTCCTCAAATTTCAAACTTTGCATTATGTGATACACAACAAAGTCACTAAGTAAGTCTTCCATTTTTTGACAAGACTTTAAGCAACCACTTCTTGTAGTGCTTTCTAAAAGAAAAAATGTTTCTTTAACTAATTTAACATACCAATAATAAGGTGTGTACACACCAATAACAACGGCCATATTAACTATATATCTGGCAAAATGATTGAACTTCAGTTATATAAAATTGATTTAGTCAAAATTAACGCTAAATATTGTAACGATGAAGTTGTCTCGAGATTAGTATACGTGCAAAAAAGTTTAAGGAGCAGACGCAACACTATAACAAAAAAAAACATTTAGTGACAATAGAATTTTTATTTAGCGGCAATATTTATTGCCACAAAAAGATTTAACAATAATATTTATTGCTGCAAAAACATTTAGCTGTCATTGAGTTAATTTCATTGCATGTAAAGTCACTAAAGCACATTTATATAGAGTGTTGGTTATAAATACACATATTTATTATCGTAGCTATATATAATATCGAGATAATTATATTATTGTCATTGAACTCTTTTAATTGTTGTAGAGCAAATTAAATGTCAACGTCAAAATTGGGTACCATGCACTTCGTCTGGAATTTTATCAAGTTGACTATTATGTATCCGGTTTGTTTTCCTTTTTCAGGGATTAATATAATTACAAACTAAATAGGGATAGATGGTAATTTCATATTAAAATTAGTGATTCCTAAAATTTATACTTTTGCATTTGCATACAAATAGGCCCAGTAAGAAAGTAAAACGCTCCCCATCGAGTTGACTATTTTTTATTTGTATACAAATAAACCTCGTTAAGAAAGTAAATCGCTCCCTACCAAGTTATTTGATATGTGCATATTATATTGAGATTGAGAATTATGCTTTGGAAAAAAAAATCAATTTTACGCGATGAGAATAGTCGATGAAACTTAAGCCAATGATAATACTATATGATAAACTTTTATTTCTATTGATTTTTTATATAATAAATACTAGATAGCAAAATCATTTCAGATGCAAAATTGACAGATTGCCATTTCCAAGATGCCATAACAAATACATATGCCAATTCATAATTAATTTGGATTAATTTTTATTACTATAGACATGGTATATAGCATATAATTTTACTAGTAGTTTATAAAATCAATGAGACTCAAATGAAAAAAAAATGACAAAAATATTTTCTTAGGAGTAGGTTTAGAATAATCCATAAGATATACTCTTAAACAATTTTGGTCTTTTATGTTTGATAAAAGAAAGTTTTCTTTTCCATCAAATATTTAATAAACTTTGGATATTACATTCGATGAGAACTTTGAAAAAAATAACAACTAGAAACATTAGGAAAGTTCCATCGAAATCAAAACTATATATACTAAATACACTTCCATGTATGAGTTTGTATTGCCTTTTTTTATGGTTCATATTAAACCTAACGATCCGAGTTTGATTAAATATTCAACATATACCAAAAATACTCACTTTTTATAAATTTAATGAATCAAAACTAATAAGTATACTTAAGGAACGATTTTGAACATACACCTAAATAAAAAAACCATTTTTGTTATTTTTCTCCAATAAATACCAAATGAATTTCTTTTAAAAGTATCACTAATAAAAATAGGGCAAACCACATAAATCCCACTAGTTTAGGTCTTAATTATCAAGATTCCCAATAGTTTCAAATATTACTTCCTGTATCATATTTTATGCTTAGGATACATGAGTCTGAATCCATGAGATACATATATCTGCCGAATTTTAAAATTGAGATACAAAATTTATTTATTTAAATTAATTGGTTGGAACTGATTTCCTTAATTAGAGGAGTAATTGAGGATTTTCGAGATACATAGATAATTAATTTCATTTTATTATTCTTTGAAATAGTAAATTCATTAATATTATTAATATAAGATAAACACATGTATATCTTGGTAATGCAATTTGATTAATTTCAAAATATTACTCTTAAAATAATAAATTCATTAATTTGATGTATCTATTATCAATATATGATGTATCCAACAAACTAAACACTTAGATACAAGAGTGTTCTGCAAGTGCATTCATATGTATCATAGAAGTATCTAGCATTAATTTCATGTATTTGTTATACGCATCTAGTATTAATTTTATGTATCTATTTATATATATA